AGAGAAGTACAGAGGCATAAGTGAATTTAAGAAGGGGTACAAACCTAGGATACATTTAATCAAGGACGAGAATGGGGATCTGCTCGCGGAATCACATGGCATCGTAGACAGGTGGAGAGATTACTTTAGTAAGTTACTAAACGTTCACGTAGCTGACCAATTTAATGAGCCTGAAGTACATACAGCAGATTGCCATGAAGTTAGTAATTACGATGGCTAGAAACCAAAGGTACCAGCACAATGCAATTGTTTCACTGGCCAACGACGACAATCTGGTTTTTTGTGAAAACTATACTTGAAGGGGAATGAACATGGATGTGAGTTGAATTCAACCGGTACAGGATTGTTTTTAATAAACAGCTTTGGTGTTAAAAGTGTTTAACCCAAAGGTTCTATTGAAACTGTTATGTATTCAGTTAATTCAGAATAAATTCGTCCTGTAAGCGTATAAAGTACTCGACTTTATTTGTTTTTTGACGTAAATACATCTATGAGAGAGCATAGCGCCGATCGAAATTCATCGTCAGCTGTGCCGGGTCTATGGGCCTAACGTCATGAGCATGGAGATGGTGCGTCGCTGGTGCAGACAATTTTCAGCAGGTCGACAAAGTGTGCATGATGAGAAGCGCAGTGGGAGGCCATCCATCATTACAGACGACCTTGTGGAGCTTGTGCGGGAAAGCATTATGGATAATCGTCGCTTCACAATTACGGAACTCAGCAGTCATTTCCCGCAGATTTCCCGCTCCTTGTTGCACGAAATTGTCACGGATCACCTGTTGTTCAGGAAATTGTACGCCAGGTGGGTGCCGAAGCAACTGACCCCAGAACACAAAACACACACAGTGGTTCCAATCCCAGGCGGCAGACTTCTACGACACAGGTATTCAAAAGTTGGTCCCACGGTATGACAAATGTCTCAATTCCGGTGGCGAATATGTTGAAAAATAGCTGGACACTTGCTGTATCTGTTGCAATAAATATTTCCATGAAATTGTGTTTTGTTTCCGTAAACGGCCCCAGGGAAACTTACTTTGTGGACGAGCCTCGTATAAACTTCCTTTCCGTATAGACGTATTTACGTCAAATTCTCCGGAACCGTGGTTCCACTACCACTTTTTCACAGTAACATTACTTTCAGACATACGTTTAGAAAATATTTAATTTAATTTGAAACTTGTATCGAATAACATTTCCTGGCAACATAATGAAACTTTTACAAGAGACGTCAGACGACTCGTCCACCACATAAATAACCCAGCTGTCGCGGCCAATTTACAATTTAGCAGCCATAAGGTGTAAAAAGAGATCGATCCATTTTTAACATTGCTAATACAGGCTGTTCCAAAAAGATGTATACACAAATTCATCGAATGAAATAAAAGACATTTTAATAAACTAAACCATTATATACATGAGCATTGGCACGTAGTGAATTAGCGAATCTGTTGAAGGTGTTTAAAATGACCACCGCTAGCTTCGTGGCACAGTTGACAGCGGTGAGCGACAGGCTGACAAGCGGTCACTAAATCATTACCATTTATCTACAGTAGTCCTGAAGATTCTATTTATATCGTATAATGTATGAGCCGTATGGCTCAAATTGCTATGCTGATCACCAACACCCGGAACGGATAGGCACTTGAAGAAGAAGAAGAAGAAGAATGTATGAGCTCCTATTTGAATTCTGACTAGCTTATCATTGGCCAGTTATGTCGGTAGATTTTCTACCTCATACAATGTTTATAACATTTCAGTTATTTAGGGCTGAGAAGTAAAATTTGAATATTACAATATTTCCCTGTACAATGTGCGAAACATGGTCTCTCACTCAGTAGGAGGAACACAGATTGCAGGTGTTTGAGAAGAGGGATATTTGGGCCTAGGAGAGAAGACGATGGGGCGTGGAGAAAACTGCATAATGACGAACTTAAACATTTATACTCCTCGAGAAGAGTGAGAATGAGATGGGCTGGTCATGTAGCGCTCATGGATGGGACAAGAGGTGTGCGCCGGGTATTGGTCGGGAAGCCGATGGGGAAGAGACCGCTGTGGAGACCTAGACGTAGATGGGAGGATAATGTCAGGCGGGATCTATGGGAGATAGGAGTTGAAGGAGACTGGATTTTGTTGGCCCAGGACAGGGTCCGGTGGAGGGCTTTGGTTAATTCGGTAATGAACCTTCGGGTTCGGTAAGCCATCTAGTTAGTTAGTTAGTTCCCTGCACAAAGTTCCATTAAATTAGTCGGCGCCTTTGGGAAAGACGCAGAGGCTGGCTTAGTTCTGCCAATCCCAAATGGGTTGCCGCATCACCGCCATGTTTGTAAGTATTAACATACAAATATATTTTGTGCAGAAAGGTAGGTATGTTTATGATCTATTGTCATAGAAAGTTGCAAATTTCTGGTTGCAAATTTTTATAAGTTATCGTTTTGAATCCGAAAGCTAAATGCAGGCTTCGCGAGCCTGCCATATTGTTTTAGAATCTAGAGAACAATTTCTGTAACAGAAGTTCCATACCTTTTAAAGATATCCATCAGAATATCGCACACGATTTTAGGATGACGACAGTGCGCACTTGTCGCTCCCACCTCTAGTAGCATAATTCTAATAGAAAATTTAAAAAAGTCTTCCTGTTGTGTCCAAAGCACTTAAGAGGAAACACGCATGTGCGCCATGATACTTCACCCTTCCTTGCGAGACAAAAAAATGGTTTAAACTGTATATTACGTGGGGCACTTTCCTTCACATGCTGAAGAAATTTTATCAACTTCAGCCCACAGTTTTGTGGTTTCAGTTATTTCATTCACAGAAAATAATTTCCTGAGATAGCTTACGAACAGTATGAAATTAAGTCACATTAGGTTGAAGGAAAGCGAGGACTGGGAAGAAGACTGATACAGCTAACCGACGACCTTAAACAAGGAAAGAAGATGACGTTCCAGGAATTAAAGCGAGAAGCCGAGAATAGGGACAACTGGAGAGCTCTTTTTGGGCAGAGCAATGGACCTGTCGTAAGACAGAGCACTTAATAATAATAATAATAATAAAGGTGATCAGTCGTGTGAGAATGGAATTAACAGGGCCATTCAGGAGGCTGTCTGTACCAAGTCTCAGAAACGCTCGCTGTTATTCTCACACGGCCGATCGTCTGTGATCTCATTGCATATAGTCGTCATAAAAGATTCAAATCTTGTACGTTATTATCCTTTGTTTCTTCGAGGCACATAACGACACGTTATTTTGATGTTTGGACACTGATAATAGAAGCAGACAGCGAGTAGTAATTTCGATATTGGACTCTGGGAGGGAGAGGTTTCCTATTTTAACTTTTACTATTAATGTAACCTTACCGGGGACAAGTAAGGCTCAACTGTAATGTGAACTTACTGTAGTCCCTATTCAGCACATACTAAACAAATGCCAGATTTTAGAATTAATGGACTATATATCGCATTCTTATCAAACTTTCCTTTATTAAACTTCGACGATCCTTCAGTGTTACGAAGTCTGTGAATGTAAAAGTAGCATAAGTATCTTTCACTGTATTATGTTCATGTTGAAGGGACATATGTATAAAATTTGTTTTCCTCTGAAGAAACCGGATTAATGAGCAGATGTGTCAGCCATGTTTCCTATGAACCTTGACAACGAATCCGCGACAATACCCACTGCGTTATAACCATAACCACATCCATCGGCTTGAATGAGCAAATGAGCGCAAAGGTCAAGAATCCAAAGTGTTCAGTATGTTTATGAAGAGGCTTCGAGTATGGGAATAAGAAAACTTTAAAGTTTATCTTTCCAAAGGTCACAGAATGAACGGGTAATGGACTGGTGATGATCTTTACATAAACCGTTACATGAAATGTATTTTTTTAGTATCACGCACTCTAATCTCCACATAGAGGAACATTAAACGACGATTAACAAATTTCAAAATACCTTAAGGCGGCGTCGAACAAATTCATGGTCATATTAAACCAACTTTGATTTATTACCATGTAAGAAGCACGTGTATAATAACTGGTACGATAATAATTTTCGGTCCAATAATTCTACAGCATATAACAGGCATCTGACCTCTACAAATCGTTTCCAGAGGCAGAGCGACTATTAATTGCTTGAACGATCCCCCGGATGAGTAGCCAATCAGTCGTAAACTTATCAGAACAAATAATTTAATTGAAGCGGAGGTATTATAAAGACATGGTACAAGAAGCTGGTAGACACAAGAGTTCTTATTATGTTGCAGTATTAATTCTGGAATTTTCATTGGAGATTCGGTCGCAACAGTGGTAAATTGCAGTTCTAACAGCCAGAATTAGCCAAGATTTGAACCAGTGCTCTCTAGAATATAAGTGCTCTATCGCAGGTAATCTCTTTGATGTTTGTACTATAAAGATTACTGTTTAGTTTTTTTAAGGTTACTGTGTATTTTCTTATTTCCTTAAAGAATGCCACGAGAAAAACAATTAACATTATCCACGAAGGTGACCGTCCTCTGGGTAGTTGCGCCGGGTAGTCTGGATGCCCTGATGATGGAGGCAGAATGGACCTATGAAATGTCGGTAAACTTCTACCAGACTACACG